AAAACATTTAGGTTATATTAAAACGAACTACTCTGTGCTGCTAATGAGATATGCCCCACACTTCTAAATGTCAAAATATCCTTCTCTCCAATTTTCCTCCTTACTATATGACCTCGAATGTTCGTAAGATGAGCGCAGGACTGGCCGCAAATGGGAACGGAGCAGCTACTCAAGAAATTACCCGTCTTGTGTGGATCACGAAAGTTCTTAACGTCCCACCTCTGGTCCATGTCCTAAGCTAGACGAGACGGGTTCATAAACTCACTCTTCAATCATTAAAAATCATTTCGATATTATCTACCTATTAGCTCCACCGCCTCGTGGGATCGTTTATATTTCCTTGTTACGTCTGAAATACTCAATATCAGTGTAATAAAATTTAGAATTTTCTTAGAGTTAGCTAAAAGAAATATATTTTTCGAGAATGTTCTGTTTCCTGACGAAAAAGAAGTGTCGTAACTGCAGGTTAGAATTCTTTGTTTTGAAAAATTGCCACTCATCTTCAAGACAAAGGCAGGATCAGGATTTAATAAAACAGAGCACCGTACAAAAACAGGCGCAAGCACTAGTAAGCCTACAATCTCTTGTAATGAAGCAAAAAAAAAAAGCGAGTCAAAGAATTTTTTTTTGCCACGAAACTTCTAATGCTAACTGGGCCTGAGAGAAATAGGATGTGAGGACATGAGATAAATTCATCCGATTAAGTAGGCGGACTAGATACAGGCTCCCTTAAACCTGGTGATGTACCTCCGAGTTCTATAAAGGGAGAATGATTTCGTGTCTGTCTTAGAGACTGTTAGCTTCTCCAGAAAGCCTCTGTCCATGGAGTAAAGTAATCAGTATGATGAGGGCAATAACACCCACATTTATGCAGCAAGGCTTACTAACTACGGCTGCGATAGCTCAATCGGTATAGCGATGGACTATGGTCTGGACGGCCAAGGATAGAACTCCGGCAACTGCAAGAAATTTTGCTGTGCTCCGCAGAGCCCAGAGCCCCAGTGGTAATGGAAGGTTCCTTTCTTTTTCTATCGAAGTGTGAAGCTGACCACTCACCTCCATCTAGTGCCGAGGTCAAGAATGGTGTACCTATACCTCAACCCCCCTCCCGGTACGTCTTCAGGGAATGGTACTTAATTAACTGAGCTTCAGGCAGTTCTATCTGTCTATGACTACAGCCCGTTGTTGCATCTTGGCCGCCTTTTCAGTTTCTTAATCCTATACACAGTCGGTAGGACTCCTTGGACGGGGATCAGCCCGTCGCAAGGCCGCTGCCGACACACAACAAGAACACAGTATAAACGCACACAGATATCCATTCGTCGAGTGGGATTCGAACCCAAAGCACCAGTGTTCGAGCGAGCTTGAACAGCTCGTGCCTTAGACCGCGCGGCCACTGGGATCGGCGGGACTTTACCTACCTACACGGAATATGCGTGCTGCCCAGATCATGCGGCCGAGTTTAACACATGATGTGACCAAGAACGTAAGATGCATTTAGGAGGGATAAGTGCGGCGGCCAAGTCCAACAAAAACATTAGGGACCCATGTATATTACGTATTGGAGTACGCCTTTTCGTTCGTGTTCATAATGGAGCAGGGGACTCTCGCCAAGGAACGCCAATGCAATTGTGCACGTTGTAGTATGTACGTGGGAGTTTGCAACCTGTAAGGTGGTGCACATGATGGAAGGAAAGAAAGAAAGTAAGTCAACACCGCGCGTGAGTGAATGAACTGTAATACAGTTTCTCTCACTCAGAGAACAGTCAGGGAAACGTTCCTGTTTACGTTACCCAGTGAGGAGACGTTGGACGGGTTTGGACCTCAGAGAGGATCAGACAGTCATGCAATCAGTATGCAGCTGTTAGGCAGAATGAGAAACCGCTCCTCTGTACTACCGAACATTTCTGTTGAAGAGAATAATTGAATTTCCGCACAGACAATATCACACAGTCCCACAGCCAAAGGTACAGAAACCATCAATTGTGAGAACACCAACCCTGCCAACCAATCAGAATCTGTTCAGTAGGTTTGCTTTGCAGACGACAGAAACATCTGCCGCCTGACGCAGAACTGAAATACAGTTCAGAAAAAAAAAGTGATGTGTGACATGTTTAATTCCAATTATTTGAGAGATGCATTTACATAGATTACAACCCGGGAAACCATGAGAAAGATCTTGTTTGTTAGCTAACACGGAAAAAATATACGAGTAATAGTGTTTCCATAGAAAATCAATTACATTTTCATTTACACGAATATACAAAGAGTTCCGAAAAGTCCCAGCGCTGTGTCATTGAGGTGTCTAGTCTCTATTTATAGATGTGTCAGTATAAGTTCTTCTAATGTCAAACGGCAGTGGAAGTAAAAATATTACATTTGACCTTGGGAAATTGTTTTAGATAAAGAATTGGCTAGAAGTATTAATTAAATCCAGATCCTAGCCTTAGCTTCAGAGATGATAATACATTTGAGATAATAGCCGAAAATATCAGAAATCTAACCCGAATATTAAAAGAGTATTTGCCACTTGAGAACAAAAAGTAATACTTCCTTGTGATCTTCGACAAACATATCACCTAAAGAACTTCAAAATGTCGTTGTTAGGGTGACTTCATGCGGGAAAACGTGAGAGACTTATGTATTTGGAAAAAAGACATGATATAAGAAGTTGTTGGTGGAGGACCTGAAGGGAAGAGATGCTTGGGAAACACAGGAGGATAATATTAAAATAATCAATAGAGAAGGAGGAAATGAGGTTTGGACATAATTCCAGTGACTTGGCACAGAATTAAATGTTTTTAATATGACGATGAAGATTCGAATTCCATAAAAGCAAAGAATATATTGAGCAGCTAATTAACCGCTAATCTTGCAACGAATACCTAGCATCGTTGAGTTAATTCCTTATATATATGTGTGTGTGTATTTATTACAACGAACATAATTTGAAATTAACTAATTAAATACGTTATGTATAAAATACCGAGCACTATATTTACTCGCCAATGACACAACACGTTTCGGTGTTCTGAACGAATAGACTTCAGCTAATTATGCTTTCGTATTTCATATGGACAAACTGTGAAATAATTCCGTTTCCACGACCGAAACTAGGTCATGTGTTCAGTTCGAGTAACTTATGATTTACAAATAACAGAATCGTAATAGACATTCCTGAGAAAACAGCATCGTATCAGTTATACAGTTTCAAAGAAATTACTTCAGTCAATCCAAGTTTCCTATTATCTAACAGGAAAACTAATTACATTACGTTGAATATGAGGTTCTCACAGCAGTGGTCATGAAGTGTTGTATCTTCTGGGATATACAAGTAGCTCCACGCAGTACGGTGAAGGTCAACTGGTATTTCGGAAGACCATATAGCCTCCATCTTCAGGCACAAAATATGGGCCAAGCAAGAAGTCAGCACGAAGCGCCTGCTACCTGCTTCATGCTGGTTTCTCGCTCCGCATACTCTTCAGCACTGAAGATATGCTCCCTTGAATGTCGGTTAACTTTCACTGGACTACATGCCGTCAAGCCTAGCAGATAGAACTCTTCTAGTTACAACAAATTCAAAGCAGATATAAACGCAAAACGCAAAATTCTGCATGCAATATGAAAAAGAATGTCACTGTATCTTTAAAATAAATGCGGTAATTCCCTTTTCAAAGGGATGGATCCCTTAACAACGGTAAAACCATAAAAACAGAATAATACAGAAGTAGTTCTTTACAGGCAAGCACTGAGAAAAAACAGGAATAAATATGTGTTTCAACTGTTCTCTTAGAATTAGACCCCATGTTTCACATCAATTTAAAACGAGGACCCGAACTACAGTTCTTTTACGCGTTAACCTGTATGTTTTACGTATGCTGTTGGGACACAGCTGGAGTTCAAACAACTTATATGATAACAAGCATTCTTATATTTTGTGTAATTTGAAGAATTAACGGTGAGTAAAGGCTATAAAATCTTCTCGGGCGGTCAGTCGTGCCAATGTTGAGTTAAAAACCAACGTCTCAGTGATATCCTCCGTCTGCAACATCCGGGTCCACGTGGTGAATGACCATAGGTCGCTGATATATACCGGTCTGTCAAACATAGCATCGATCTGACACAATGATATATACTCGCACGTCAGCGACCTGTGGACATTCACCACATGGTGGGCATAGCGAAGACCTCTGAAACATTCGCCAACATGGCCGACCGCGCAAGGTTGTAGCACATCTCCATAGTCTAACATCCTCTTCATTTCATCATAACCATCCTGTTTTGTTGCTTTCGTCCCTCGAACTTAGGAAACACAAGAAATTACATACATACCCGTTTGTGCAGTCCTCACAACAGTCGAGGTAAGTCAGCATAGTGACCAGAGTATGGGCTGGAACCCCACCGCGGCGGCCCGGGTTCGATCCCGGGTCTGGTCAGGTGGGATTCGTGGTGGAAAAAGTGGCGCTGGGGCAGGTTTTCTCCGAATACTTCGGATTCCCCTGCCAATTTTTATTCCACCAATTGCTCCACAATCACCCTCACCTATCATCTGGGGCTGGTACAATAGGCCAGAAGTGGCCGCAGTGCAAGGGACTTAGTCCCACCCCACTAGCAATAAAAAAAAGGGCTGGACTCCAAGAGAACCGGTGTTCCATTCCTACAGGAGTCGGAGATTTCTTTCTTTCTTACCACGCTCAGACGGGCTCTGCAGCCCACCCAGCTTCCTATGCAATGGAAACCGGGTAAAGCGGCCGAAGCGTGAAGATCACTATTAACCTCCATTACTACACGCGTCTTCATGGCTTGGGGTTTAATTAGTTGCGAAGGGGCAAGTTTACCTCCCTCTCCTCCAAGAATATGTACAGATGTCGACAATTACGCTGCAGAGCAATCTGCATAAGGGCACGCACTATCGTCTTTATAAAAAGCTTTCCCTTCTGAGTCCAGACAAAAGCTACGCAGTCTGTTGGCGAAAGAAACGATATTCTCAGGGTACGTACCTTCCGCATCTCGAGGGTCTGGCAGCGGAATTTCGCATCGTCTGCCGGTGAATCCAGGTGTACAGTTGCACAGGATGGCATCGGAACCCATGTGCCTGCAACAGTAATTAAGAGTGTTCAACTTGGAACACGGGCCTACAGGCATTATCTCTTGTGCTCCGCTCCGCTGGGTGCGCGTGCGTCTCTAACACAACCAAACCAATTTTAGACTAATTTCCTAGACTCATGAATGCTGTAAAAACTGTGCAAAGCNATATCGTATTTACGCATGTATAGGCCGCACATTTTTTGCCAAAAATTCAAGAGGAAAACTGGGGTGCGGCTTATATTCGAAATATTCGAAATCACACTTCATTTTAAAAAAATTAAACGTTGCCAAACTTCGGAATAATTTCTACTCCTGAAATAATATTCCAAGAAACTTATTTTTTCTATAATTTCTGTCTGAAAATTGTGCTGCGGCCTATACACGCACGCGGCCTATACATGCGTAAATACGGTATATGACCAAGCTAGACCGAAATATGTAAGGCGATGTTATGTTTTAAAAATTATAAAACTAGTTACACCAGATGGAATTTAAAATTGCTTGATATGAAGTGTATCGGTGGATAACGTTGATCATTAAAGCAAAGAAGCTCTGGGAAAAACTAATCGCTTAATTTATGTCCGTCTGGTAAGTTGCTTCCGATCCTCGCCAGCGTAGTCATTCTTCGTTCCGAGTCCCGTGGGTCTCATGACCGTATATAAATATCTGACAACTCTGGGAGTCGTGAAACGCTCTCATCGAATATGGGTCGGTAGGGTAAATTTCTGGTGGCCTTCGCCAGGACAGCTACTCTTGACTCCCGAGTCCCACGGTAATCATGACCAGATCTTACTGTCTCATGACTATGGGAGTCACGCAACCACAACGTGAACTTTCCGTTCAATAAATATTACAAATTTCATACATCTTGAACCGCATAGAAAATGCCGCGTCCAACAGTTCTTTTATTGTTGCGTATGTTCGTTGCCGCGGGAACGTGTTCGCCAGTCATTGCCTAGAAATGATAGGGTGAACACAGACAGCTAGGTGATGGATTTTTATTTTTTCAAAATAAATAAAGTAAGCCAAAAGTTTCACTCCTTAATATGGCCCATGTTCCATGTACTAAAGGTACCGTAAGGGATGCAGATTTGAAAATACGCCTGCAAAACATACCCGGAGCGCAATGTCAGGTAGACGTTATATTGAATCAATAAAGTAAAGTAAAGGTATCCCTGTAACAGACCGTGGAGGCCCATGGGGCTTTGAGATGTTGAGGTTCCCACATTTTACCGAAAATCGGCTCATAGTTGGCGACAAGGTTGTCAGCCCTACGCGCCGGCCGCCCTTTACCCCCAAGAATATTCCTGGTACTCATTTCTGTTAGAGGCTGAGTCGACCCCAGGGCCATAGTGCTGCTGGAAGTATTAGGTAAATTGAAAAAAAAATCGAATGACCTCATCGTGATTCGATCCCACTGCCTTCCGGATTGTAGCATAGTGTCTCAACTAACTACGCTACCGCATGCCCCATATTGGATCGATAATCACTAAAATTAAAACCTCCCATTTTGGCCCATCTACAAGAAATTTAGACATCTTCTGTCAGTAGTATCGGGGACCAAACATGCAGGTTTACACGGACAAACATGGCCTCCTCATTATGCGTTCAGCTTATGCACTTTGTAAAAATAACGCGAAGTTTCCTAAATAGTAGTGCGATAACCTGTTAAACTCATAAGGAAGATATAAAGTACGTGAAAATTCCTCGAGTACTTCTTATCAAAACATGACGTTTGCTGAAGAAGGCAACTAGAATTGAAATAAAAGATCTTAATAGAAATCGGCTCTTAACAGCAGGAACCCGGAACAGCTCCACCCATGCGAAGCACATCATTCACGTTGCGAAACATAAAACGATTCTGTGATTATCTGTGTGCTCTGATCACATGATCGGCCCAAACAACTGACTCTAGCTGAGAAAGTAAGATGTATAATTCCCTAAGAAACAAAGATCTTTAGCCCCTCATAGCTTGTAATTCTTTCAGACACTTTGAAACTCAGTTCAAAACTGCGCCTTCATTATAAGCATCTACTGGTTGATGCTGGTTATGGAAATAGTCGCTCTTTATTCTTAAAATTCTTACAAAGAGTATACACTTTGTGGGCAAAATGAAGAGTGCTTGAACGTCAATTCAAGTGGGACGTACCACCGTGCTTTAAATGCTTAAAAGTCACTTGTGACATCGAAATTCTATTCTGCGAATAGTGAAGGAATCACTGAAAAGTGAAAACTGGAAACACTGAAACTCTTTAATAACTTTATTCGACGTTACACAGGCTCGATACAGACGGCGTCGTTAAGTAACCAACTTGAAAAGTAAGCTATACTCAGGAATTTCTGCCATGACCACATTACATGGAGCAGACTGGTATACCAGTAACCATCCAGACTTCCGTTCTGGAGATGCTTGTTCGAACCTCGGCTACGCTAACGGCTGCACACAACGTTGTCTTCAGCGCCTGCTGTGACCGTCGGGATATCTTGAAACAGGACACAACAGCCTCCTTCTTAATCACTTCCTATTCATCACTGACGAGTATCTACGCGTTAAATAAACTGGTTAACTTACAATGTTGCCTACCGGTTTGTATGATTGTGGAAATTTCGTCAGGAGCGCCGGAAACAAAATGGCATCATGAGGTAAAGTTGTCACTGTGCTTAACGAATTAAGAACTACACCATGAAGACATGGGTGAGCGAATGTATAGATCCATGTTTTCTTGGCCTCCGTACTAGTTGGAGGTGAGTGGTCAGCTTCACGCCCTGGCCACTTTAACGTCCGGGGAAAGAACCACCAGTTTTCATTGGATAGACGGCTGAGGGGTCCCAGAACCGGTCTGGAAGACATGTAGAAAAGAATATTTTAACCTCTACTGGGACTCGAACTCCGAGCAGTCGTTATACGGACTGTGCTATCCAGGCTCCCACAAAGTGATACTATTTAAGGAAATATTTGATAGCCAGAAGGATTAAGTAATGACAAGAGAAAGAACGCATAATAATGATATTCATTATTTGTAATCGATATCAGATATAGTTAGAATGATTAAACAGCATAACTTACACATATTGTAAGAGTGGCAACAGATAGACTCCCAGAGATGTTACTAAATTAGAAACCCAGCGAACATCGTAATATCGGGCCATCAATGGGAGGACATGTTCCCTTGAAGTCGGAAACAGACCAATGGCCTATATCCCTCGAGAAGGATGAGGAGGAGGAGGAGGAGGAGGAGGAGGTCTCATGCTCAGGACATGTAGCGCGCAACGGGGAAAGAGGCAATCCATACTACATTTCCGTTGTGACTTCATAAGGAAGACACTGTATAAAAGATCTTAAGAAGGTAATGAAATTCCCTGCTTCTTAAAAGAGGAAACGTCTTGTTCAGCTGTGAACATTTCAACTTCCCGGGAGGAATCTTCTCCGCGGAGATAGGAAATTTGATAACTAAGTATACAAAGCAATTGTAATCTGGAGTCACGGAAACAATGTATAAGATGAAACGCAAAACTCTATACATCTATATCAAATATTATCAGTCACTTCTTATCTGACGCTGACAGCGAAAACCACAGAAAAGTATATACAGTTTACTATTTGTCCGACTTAATAATCATGTTGAATATCCAGGCAGAAGATACATTACGTGTCCTGCTGAAGCCATCGGCTTTAAAATACACAAATAAGAGCTGAAGCGCACTGTGCCTTATCATACAAGACATACAGCATATTGGGCTAGCAAGGTATTCGTAACAGACCCCCGAACCAATACCATACTTGAAGTGGCACTACTGTAGCTAACAAAACTGTCTGTCTCTCTATGGCTCTACAGCCCTTTGTTGGACCTCCACAGCTGTTCAGTTTCTTGAACTTTTACACAGTCGGTAGGACTCCTCAGATGGGGGATCAGCCCGTTTCAATGTCACTACCTGCACACAGGACAGCACGAACACAGAAAAAAATACATACAGACAATCATGATTTGAGGGGGATTCGAACTCATGGTTCCAGTGTTTGAGCGGGTGAATGGAGTTCATACCTTAGACCGCTCGGCTACTGTGAGCGGCACAAATGTGCAACATGGCCGTGCCATAGCTCAAGCGGTTAGTCGCTGGCTTCCCACCGCGGCGGCCCGGGTTCGATCCCGGGTATGTTCAAGTGGGATTTGTGGTGGACAAAGTGGCGCTGGGGTAGGTTTTCTCCGATTACTTCGGTCTCCCCTGCCGATCTTCATTCCACCAATTGCTCCACAATCACCCTCACCTATCATCTGGGCTGGTACAATAGGCCAGAAGTGGCCGCAGTACAAGGGACTTAGACCCACCCCACTAGCAATAAAAAATCAGTAACATGATAAACTGAAAGCAAGGAATTAAAAACCATTAGAACGGGAATAACCTCCAAGGTCATGCCGTTCATACCAGTCTTCATAACAACAGGTCATGTGGTTTAGAATTATTAAGAGAACGGATATGAGATCGCAACTCTGATGTTAATGCAAGTCTTTATTTCATCAAAAATCTGGGACAAATGACTAGAACCTCTGTTCCTTATTCGGTAGGTTCTATGCACTATCATAAGCCTGACATCGTGACAGAGGATCTTCATTGATTCCTCGGCATATATAAGCACATTCCGGTACAGTAATTTAAAACAAGGTATGACTGCTTCCTTCAATACGTTTGCCTAGTTTCATACACAGTCATCCTCCTATTCGATGATAAGCAACCTAAGATGACGAGGAAAACATCACCAGGAAAATGCTCTAAGAAATATGCCTATTCATTATTAAATATAACTGACTTGCATTTAAGAGGCAACAGGTACGAAACCAGAGCATCTATTGTCCTGACTTCGGCGTTTCATGATCCTCCTCAGGCCCCTACGGCGACACGTGGGATAGTAGCTCTAGAAATGCTACTATCGTTTCACCTTCTAGCCCATTCCATTTCACCGCAAATGCACATCTCATTCAACTGCAACAGGAGGTTCCGTAAGTTGAT